TCTATCTCTTTCGTTTGAGTATTAGCGACTACGTTGCGTTTAGTTTAAGTTATTTTGTATTAATAGCGTTGATTCGTATTAATTAGAATATTACGATAATATTAGTTCTAAGCTGAAAAATTAGATAGTTAAGATTTAAGTTATTTATAAGGTTTATTGTGAAAGGTGGGTAGATGTAGAACTTGTGATTCCATCGATCTGCCTTGGGCCTCCACTCGCAGCAACCTCCTCGTTGTGAGGCCTGGACAATCGGTATTATCATCGGTAAACTACTGTAAACTGAAGACAATATCGAGCTAATGGCTGCGAACTTCGAATCTATCTTATAAAACCACGTTCTACATTACATCGAACTAGGATTATTTTAGAAATCGATATGAGATTCAAAGTGTAAAAATGTCTAGTACTTTGAATGTTTTAGAAAATTATTCGAGATAAAGATGTATGGAACTACTGAAAATTACTTTAGATTCCTTTTCCTTCTTCTGTAAATTCTTTGATTGGAATATGAAAGCTGCTGGAAGTATGAACATTTTCACAAGACGATGATATAAATGGAACTTTAAAACTTTTTCAAGTGTTACAGTGATATTTCGTTATATGTTCCATAATGTCAATAATATTGATTTCCCCGCCACATTCATAATTATTACAAATGTCAATATAATGAAATATCTTTTATGCGATGTTTGTGGTGTAATAAAAATCTGTGTTTCGATTACGTTTTTGATACGTATTACTCACTTATATGTAATAATATAGAATAAAAATATACTGTTAGTCCGATATTTGAAAATATACATGCGTTCGTTGTCATTGTTAAACTGTTGTAATAACAATGGAATAATGAAATAATTTACTGAAATGTACATAATAATACAAGTACATATTCATAAAAACAATATTAAACTCAATAACTTTTTTGTGCGCGACGTCCCTTTTACAAAGTCTTACAAATAACTTAAAGGTAACTGAAATTTAGACGCTTTAATGTTGATTTCTCTCGGCGGATGGCTTCTTTCTTGAGCCTACCTGAAAATAAAATGAACATCCGACGGCGAATGATCGATGTCTTCTTTTTTGAGCTTACACTAGTCTTACAATCGACTGAACTTAACTTATAATTAACCCATTTAGCTGTATACCGAGCAATTATTACAGACAAAAGGAGTGCATATTCTCTGAAGGAGAATATGTTTCAGAGAGTCGATACTCTCGGAAGGAGAGCACCGATTCTCTCTGATGCTAAGTGGAGAACAACGGCAGTTAAAGTAATAACTACTCGGTATGCATTACAATTATTTTACAATTGGTTTGCAGCCATTCGCTCGGCATTATCCTCGATTTTCAATAATGCAAATCGAGGATAACACCGATTACCAGGTCTCACCACGTGGAGGTTGCTGCAATTGGAGGCCCAAGGAAGATAGATGGAAACACAAGTTCCATCTATCCACCTTTCACAATAATCTTACAACCAACTTAGATATCTAAATACGCTTATACTATAAATATTGAAATCCCTCGGAGGATGGCTTCTTACTTCACTTTATTGAATTAAAATAAATCAAAATAAAACACAAGTACCTAAGCACATAGAATTAAAATAAATCAAAATAAATACATATAATTAAAATAAATCAAAATAAAACACATATAATTAAAATAAATCAAAATAAAACACAAGTACCTAATTATAATATATTAAAATAAAACACAAGTACCTAATTAAAATAAATTAAAATATAACCCAATCAAAAAAATAAATCACAATAAAAAAAAAATAAAAAAAAACGAACCCCTGATTCGAGTTCGGATAGTAGAGAAGACCCCTTGAACCCTCCTTGACCAGTGTCCACCAGTGGTCAGCAATCGTGGGAAGACCTCGTCGAGTTCGGATAATAGAGAGGACCCATTGAACCCTCCTTGATCAGTGTCCACCAGTGGTCAGCAATCGAAAGACCTCGACGAGGTCTGCGGACGCGAGTGAACTGACGATTTTTCATTGCGCGCTCGTATTTATGGGCTCGCGGCGACCGTGAATTTGCGCGCACTGGTGCGCGGTCAGGTGCGCGAACATTGAGTGCACTGGAAACTCGAGCACGCCAAAAATTATTTCTCGATTAATTTATTATTTCTAATAAGGTAATTGTTATAACAATTACCTCTCTGAGAAATATTGTTAAACATTCTGTCAGCTGTCGTGTAATGCAAATTGTTATTGTTTATAACAAATATAAATCGAAATATACAGAAACTTTCAAGATATGAACCGTTTAATGAACTTTTACGTGTAATAAATTTTACTTTATTGCAAACTATTAAACAATGACTATGTTTTAATGTTTATGACGATTGTTAACTAAATATTATTTAATGAAAATGTGCCGTGATAGCGTTTTAAACAAGGAATTCATAAAAATTTGTTGGACAGTACGAATTCTTTGATTTATTTCACAATACGTTTAATATTATAATGATTATAACAATCACATCTTTGGTGGGAGATGTTCAACATTGTATCATTCCTTTTACAATGCGAATTGTTAATAATTATAACAGATAGAAATCGAGATATACAGAAACTTGCAAGATATGGATCGTTTTATGAACTTTCACGTGGAATAAATTTTATTTTATTGTAAATTATTAAATAATAACCGTGTAATAATGTTGGTGGCAATTGTTAACTAAAAATTGTTTAATCTAAATATGTCTTGGTAGAGTTTTATGTGAGAAATTTGTAAAAATTTATGGCATGGTAGAAATTCTTCGATCAACGTTCGATGGTTATTGTCCTTGACAATAACTGTTATAACTTTGAGCATAGAATATTTGGCTTACTCGAAATTATTTCACAATAAATTAAATATTTCCGACAATATAATATTTATACCAATCACATTTTCGGTGAGGATTGTTAAACATTCTATCACATGTTTTGTAATGCAAACTGTAATTGGTTATAACAAATATATAAAAATAGAGGTATTCAGAAATTTGTAAGAAATGAATCGTTTTATGAACTTCTGTATGGAATAAATTTTACTTTATTGAAAATTATTAGACAATGACTATGTGTTAATGTTCGTGGTGGTTGTTAACTAAAAATTATTTAATTTAAATATACCTTAGTATAGTTTTGTACGAGAAATTCGTAGAAATTTTTTGCGAATAGGAATTCTTTGATCGACGTCTGATAGTTATTGTCCTTGACAATGACTGTTATATATTTTAGAATAGAGTTTTTGGTTTATATCAATTTGCGCGAAATGATTTCACAACAAAGTGAATGTTTTCGGCAATGTAATATTTATAACCATCACATCTTCAGGATATGTTGTTAAACATTTCGCCAGGTGTTTTATGATGCAAATTGTTGTTAATTATAACCAATGGTAATCGAAATATAGAGTAAAATGTAAGATGTAGATATTGCAATGACGTTTTTGCAAATTAATAATTTGCATTCTATCACAAATTATTCAATGACAACCACGTCTTATTATTTTCGCGAAATATGACATATTAATTATTTTATTTAAATGTTTTTAACT